TTTAAACATATGAAAAGCAACAATAAAACAATACAAAATAAAATGTAACTCGAAGAAAATAGTCATTAAATCCAAGAAACCATTTATTTACCCAAATAACACAACAAAGAAAGCAATGGTCTTACAAACATACAGCAGGAAGTCACATTCCTTGTGTTAGTAAATATTATTTGTTAAAGATTTCAAGAGAATGTTCATCACTATTAATGTCCTGTATAAAGTGTCGGATAGAACAATCATTACCCAAAACTATGGTCCAAAGGAGAAACACAACAACAACATATTCTTTGTCCTTGCGAGCACATTACATCTTTTTAAAAATTGATTTTTTCTGGAATTACTTGAAACATACCCCATTATCTTTTGTGGCTACTTTTCAACAGCAAGTCAGATGCACTAACAAATAAGCAACAAATACTGGACAAATAGAATCTCAAATATCATTAAAAAAGATGGCATAAATTACATACCAAGCAGTTGATCGATTTTCTTCGAACAAGCCAACCAACTCTAAGCAGATGTGAGAAGCAGCAGGGACCCAAGTCAGCTCAACTGAAACAATAAAAGAAAAGACAATTTTACTGATACAAAAACCATAAGATTTATAGATTTAACAGCGACAACTTGGAGCCCGGAGAGAAGCTTGTGATCCCTCTGAACATGCACGAACAACACGAGTGAGGATTGCATGGCATCAAAAGCAACAGGCAGGAATACAAGATGAGAATTTCATCAAGCAAACCACATCATAGACATGCAACAAGATAATGACTAGTTCAGTTGAAAGAGGAAGTCTAAGTCACCTGAAGATCCGAGAGAGACGGTTTGGCTTATCAAATAAGAGCATAACTCGGCTTGATCGTTACTAATGAGGAATGAGGACCTTGGTTTTCCTTGGTCTTACATCCAAGAACGGCATATGCCCTCTATGGGTCGGGGATAGGATTCCCATCTAGTTTTCTTAAAAACGAGCAAACAGGGTCTTTTTTAGTCAAATTTCCAAGACTAAGTTGATCATGTTCTTTATGAAAAT